TTATGATTTTAACTTTAAACACAAGTGCCAAAATACTGTAATTACTTTTCGATGTTTGCATATGGAAGGGATAACATGTGCAAGTTTTAATGTATTGATAATTAGGATTGTTAATATATGATGTTAAAACAGTTTGATCACAACACAAAATGGTGTTCTTACATTACGTCCTTACTTCTTTAGATATTGTCTTTGTCGAAAAAGAAAGAAAGCCAGTTATTGTTCCATAAAAAGACAAGTTATCAGTTAATAAGTTTGTCAAGAAGTAAACATAGCAATACCTAGATTCAACAAGCATCGAGCCTGCTTATATTTGCAATGGTTTATCATAGTAATAACAGATTGCTCTAAAGTGGCACAAAATTGCCTCTACACATAATAATTTTGATGTTTGTCACATTTGCACACTGCTCAAACATTATGTGTGTGTTAAATGCTTTCCAAATATGCGTTTCGTCAGTAACCAAACCATTTTTAAGTTAAATATATTTATATATATTTAATAAGTTACTTACATCTTTTCAAACATTTATTTCACTTATTTTTCGTTCTTTTTTTTTAGGAACCTCAATAATAATCGGATAGTTAATATTGAAGAAGGTGCATTTGATAATCTTACCTCGCTGGAAACGCTGAAGCTAAACAAAAACAGAGTCTCTGAAATTCCAAAGAATCTGTTTAAGAGACTACATACCCTGAAGCATCTGTAAGTAATGTATTTTCAGATCATGGTTTGATATCTCTTATACATAACAGAACATTGTATATGTTAATGTATTCTGGTATTTCATGCTCTAGTGTGTTTGTGCAAGTTAAAAAGATTATGATTGCTGACATATCTGTATATAGAAAAAAAAACATGCATTTGTTTACCAGTCTCTTGAGGGTTTACATTACTCAATTTAATGAATATAAATCTGTTAGTCCCTGAAATTTTCTAAAAAAGAAAGTACTTGTGTATATATATGTATATAATGGTCAGTAATACATCTGTCTCGTTTATACTTTTGTTATACTGTATGTGCTGAAGAAGTCCTTGTCAAACCGGTTGTTTACTTGTCAGCTGTTTTGTATAAAAATGGTAAAAGTATACCTGCATTTATTTTTTTCTTCCAATAGTGAACTTAATAAGAACCACATCCAGAAGATTGAAGGACTAAGTTTTCAAGGCTTGGAGTCTCTACAGGTTTTAAAACTGAGAAGAAATGGAATAGAACAGCTTTCAGATGGAGCTTTCTGGGGACTTCATAACATTCATCACTTGTAAGGATTGTATTTCACCTTAATCAAGTTGTTAAACCATTTTTTAAAAAGGAATGAATTAATCAGACAGTTTGTAGTTTGTAAGTTCCTTGTTGATAAGAACATTCTCTGTGTTAGATGTACGAGTTAAATGTGTGTATAAACACTGTTGAACATCACACACATGGAAAGTGGTGAAGTGTAGAATCACATGTTATACACAAAGAAAGGACAGATCTAGGTTCCTAACTAATTTCTTGATCATTTAATAACAGAAGTTATGAAAACAATTATATTAGTAATATTTTTAAGAAATAGCCCTTTTCTGTATATTTTTGACACTATCATCTGTTTGTCAGTGATTGAATATTTTATAATTTTGAAACCAAGATAAAATTTTTCTGGGGAAATCTGCACTGTAATAGCCTGCTTTATTCTAAATAACTAGCATTTTATTTTCTGTAGTCATTCACAAAATGACTTGGGGGGGGGGGGAGACTAAAGAAAGCTGCAAATGAGAATTTTCCTAGTTTGTAGACTGTTGAATTTGATATCAAACTGGTGTTCAAATTTCAACGATCAGTTTTTTTTTATTACAGACATCTGGACTATAACAATATCAGACATGTGAAAAAAGCCTGGTTATACAAATTATCATCACTTAAGTCACTGTAAGTAATAAGATACAAGAATTTATGTGTGTTTTACATTTATAAAAATAATCCTTGCAGGACAAAACAAGAGTTTTGGAATTTACACATTATGGCATCACCAATCTAATAAATTTTTGTACAACGTGTATATTTAGTATATACATATAAAACAACAAATAGTACAGATTTTAACATCAAGAAAAATGTGTACAAAATAAACAGAGAGGAAAAGATATTGCAAAGATTAAAATTTACAATTTAATAAAATTGATATATCAAAACAAGGAAAGGTGAAAGGAACTGAGGCTATTATTTAGACTTGGATGTTCTTCCTACTCCTGTACATTCATAGGTCATCTACAAATACACTTGCAGTGACTGTAAAGTTACCTATGTTGGCAAAATATAACAGCAATTAAAATAAGTGTCTATGAACATACAGGAGTTCCAAGCAGGAACAATCAACTTCTCCTAAGTTCATGTGCTTATCCCATTGCACACTGTCAAATTAGAAAACACCCTTTATCTACTGGTAACTTCAACATTCTAACGTCAGGATAATCAGATTATAAACTTCTGGTCAGAAGATGCTAATGTATCTCAAATGAATATCCAAGCCTAAATAATAATCTCAGTTCTCCTTGTTTTGATATATTCATTTCATTAAATTGTATTTGTAACCTTTGTAAAATTTATTTATTTCTTCCCCTCTGTTTATTTTGTGTACATTTTATTCTCTATATTAAATCATATACTTTGTTGTTTTATGTATGTACGTGTTTATGATACATGTGTATGTTGTGTTAAAACATTTTATATCGATGATGACGATGTTAAGTGTAAACTTTGAAAAATCTAATTACTAAGCATGTTGTTTTGTTTTATCATGGCAATCCTGTTTTAAATTAGACTTCAGTTTCTACCTAATGAAACTTTAATTCTTGTATTTATGTTAGTTACATGTAAAGCAAGTTAATATAATACATTATTTAACACAGATCACTAACACACAATAAAATATATGAAGTGGAAGAAGAAGGATGGGAATTCTGTGATCATCTGAAGGATCTGTAAGTCTATATCTGTTTTTTTTTAGTTTGGAAAGTATTCATTCTGTTTAATTTTATGCTACAATGTTAGATAAGAAGTAAATAAAACACTCCAAAATATGTAGCTGTGTCAATGCTGTGAAGTGTAGTTTTCCTGCTGCTGTTCTTAAAATTCACTTATGATAATAGAACATTTTTAAAGATTGTTAGTGACTGTTGTTAGCTTTGTTTCAATCTTTCTTACTTGCACTTTAGGAACCTGAAGCACAACCAACTGAAGACTATTACCAAGTATACTTTCTCCAAATTGTTCAAGCTTCATGTACTGGATCTTGAATATAATAACATATCTTATATTGAGGATAGAGCCTTTGAGCACCTGACTTCTCTACAAATCTTGTAAGAATTTTTGTTTTTTTTATATGTATACTACATAACTTTTGGGGAAGGGAATATGACTGGTAATAATTTCTGAAATCTTCCATACTCTTCCTTATACAAAAGTAGTTCACCCTGAAAGTCTTTATCTTAAAGTCCTTGTAAGTATGATGTTAAATTTAAAACGTTAATACAATTTTGTTGTATATATAACATTGAGGGAAAGCCTGAAGTTACAACCAAACATCATGTTTAATAGCTAGTTACCTTACACAGCTTTACTGTATGAAAGAAACTATTAGGATAAGAGGCACCACTTTCGTCAAAGTTTTACAATCACTAATGTATGTATGTCTGTACTCATGCAAGTTTCATTCATAGAATATAGAAACTGAATGTTAATCTTAATGTTGAAAACTAAAACAGCACAGTTCTGAAAAACGTGTTCCTTCATAACAGAAAACTAGACAACAATGAGATTTCTTGGACCATTGAAGACACAGATGGTGCTTTTTCTAACCTGACTAGTTTGGTGGAACTGGGGCTAGCTAACAATAGGATTAAGTCCATTGCTAAGAAAGCATTTGTTGGACTAAATAGCTTACACTCACTGGACCTGACTGGAAATCCTGTTACAGCAATTCAGGAAAATTCTTTTCAAAGTCTACAGAATCTACAGGAATTGTAAGTTGAACCTCAAAATGACTATATTTTGACAAAAAAAAAACAAGCTAAAAGTAAGTTTGTGAAAGCAAAATTTGTTGTGTAAAAATTACAACTTCCATTATATGATGAACTTTGGAAAATTTATACTAAGATTGCTTATTTTGGCAAGATAGATTATTGTAAGAAACCTTTAGTATACGAGTCAATATCATATCAGCTAAAGTGTTTCATGTTGGTATTTATTAAATATATACCAAACTTTCTGTATTGTAGATAGTCACATAATGACATGTGAATTAATGTATTAGTTATACTGAAAATTTGATTGAAAAATAATTTTAATTTTTTTCTTTTTTTATAGGAAATTCAACACTAGTAGTCTGCTTTGTGATTGCTCCTTAAAATGGCTTTCCAAATGGTTAATAATTTCAGGGTTTAGTCACACTGTCACTGCCTACTGCGGTCATCCTGAGTCACTAAAGAACCAAAGTATCTTTACAGCCAACCCTGAAAACTTTACATGTGGTATGTGTGACCCAGCTACATTCTGTGTTGATAAAGTTAGTTTAAGATTTGTAACTAAAATGCTCACTTTGGTCACCACGAATCACTAAAAAACAGAAATATCTGTAAAGGTGATGATCCACTTATGTTCTGCATTGATAAGACATTGTAAGGGAGATGTAAAAAATGTTGTTTAAGTGTTCAAATCTGTAAATTAGGTTTATTATGTATTAAAAAGATAGACAGTTTTACTTCAGTGATATAAGTGACTTTTTTGTTTTAAAATTGTGCTTGCAGTTGTTAGTTGCAGAAGAAGAGAGATATGTTTTATCACCTTAGATACATTGTATTGTCTAAATATCAACATCACTTTAGAAACAGCTATGTTCAGAAATAGTCTGTGTTCGATAATGTAATCTAGAGATACTTAGTGTTAGTTTCCTAAAAATTTTTATAATATTCCAACTGCTTGTTGTAGATGATTCCCCTAAGCCATACATCACTGAGAACCCTCAAACACTGACAGCTCTTCAGGGAGAAAACACCACACTTGTATGTAAGGCAGCCAGCTCTAAGGATACCCCTGCTATTTTCCAGTGGAGAAAGAACAACAAGGTTATTGTGCTTAGAATGCCTCTTGCGTCAATTTACTGAGATGTGTAGTTAAAACCAGATACCTGTATTATAGTGTAGGGGACAAATCAGTTTGTTTGGTAAATGTATGCAAGGTTTATCAGTCATTTGTTTAAAGTATGTAAGGATATACCAACTGTTAGGTTTAAAATTCACTGTATTTATTCATTACTAGTATTTGTTCTATTTAATAGTTTAAAAACAATCTTTGTGTACCACTTTCATAAACATAATAGAGGAAGACAAATTATCCTCAATTTTTATAGATTACAGGGTAATAGTGTGAATACCAGATTAC